CCAAGGGGATGGGGGAATTCCCGTGCTTTCTTTAGGTGCTCTCTGGGGACCTGCTCCCTCAGGGGTGAGGGAGACCCATGCCCTGAGGGAATGGCTCCCGTGTCCTCCCTGAGGGACTGGGGCAGCCCCTTGGAATCCCGGCCCCACCAAAGGGGATGGGGATGCCTCACAGCCTCTTTGCGGGATCTCCATCCCTGTCCTGAGGGAGCCCTGTGCTTTCCCTGTATGCCAGGGGAGCCATGATCCATCCCTGAGGGTCTTGGGGACTCCTGATGGGTGGCTGGAAGAATCCCTCCCTGAGGGAGCTCTCAGAGGCATCGGGGATGTTCCCTGCTCTCCCTGTGTTTGAGAGGGACCCTGCACCCCCTCCATGGGGACACAGCCTGTCCCTTGGTGGGTGTCACGTCCTGGTGCCTTTGGGGATGGTGCTGCTCCCTCTGACACCCACGTTTCTTTCAGAGGTGGAGGTTGAAGTTAACGACTCCCTGATGCGGTTCTTTGATCACTGCGCCAAGTTTGTGGTGCTGGTGGAGGAGAATGACACGGCCATGGGCCAGGTGAACGCCTTCAAAGAGGGGCCTGAGATGAAGAAGGTCCTGGAGAAGGTGGCCAGTGCCTTGTGTTTACCAATGGAGGAGCTAAATGCAGGTAAGGAATTCCTGTCATGGGTGGCTTTGGCTCCAAGGCTGGCCAAGAGCAGCTTCCAACATGTGTAGTTATGCAGAGGAGGTAATTTGGAGTGGCTGTGACTTGGAGATGCAGTCTCTAATTAAATGCAAGAGACTGTAAGTCTGTGTTGGTGTTGCAGTAATGAATGCTTGTTGGACAGTGGTCAGAAGAAAAAGATGCATGAAAACATCTTTCCCGTAGATAAAATCAGCTTTACCTGGTTTTGGAAGGATTTGAATGTTTTAATTTTGTTTTGTGAAACCCACTACAACTCCAGCACATAAATGACCTGAGGAAAAGCAGCCCTCAGGTCTGCTTTTAATTCCTGTTCAGAACAGAAGTGCTGGATTTCCCTGTATGGTTTTGGGGAGAAAAGCACCCCAAAATAAGTGCTGCTGTTGGGATTGCAGCATCAGGGACATGCTGGGGACAAAGTTCAACCTGGTGCTGCTTGTACACAACTGCTGATGTGGAGGGGGTGTTGTCCATGAGCTCACACCTTCCCTTTGACTCCTATGGCCTGTGGGGCTGCACCAGCAGCTGACACCTGTTTCACATCAGCTGATGGACAGCATTTAATGTGGAATGCTCTTGTTTTCCCTCTTAGCATGATGTAATGCCAAGAACTTGCAGTCCAAAATTTGGGTTTTGCACAATAATCCTGTTAAACTGTGTATTTTTGGTGCTTGGTCTTTGTCCTGCCAAATATTTATTGGATGTCATTGTTTGTATTGCCAAACAGTAATTACAATTCATTTTAGAGGTAAACTGAGGAGAGGAAGCTGCTACTTATCTTGCAGTGATTTATTTATCTCTTGCTTGTTTGTTGGATTTATTGCAGATCTTGTTCAAGTGGCTTTTCTCACCTGCTCCTATGAGCTGGCCATAAAAAATGTGACCTCCCCATGGTGTTCACTCTTCAGTGAAGAAGATGCCAAGGTATGTGAGGCTTGGAGCAACCTGCTCTGGAGGGAAGTGTCCCTGCCTGTGGCAGGGGGTTTGGAATGAGGTGATCTCAAAGGACCTTCCATCCCAAATAATTCTATAATGTGTGGTTTTACATGATAGAACCACGTGATAAAATTCACTCCAGGGTACATCAAAATGAGGTCTTGCAGGGCCTCCAAGACTCTCTGGTTTTTGGGGTCTATCAGCTCTCTAAACCAAGACAGAACCCAGATAAATGAGACAAATGTTTGTTCCTCTTCTTTCAACTTTTTTTGATGTTCAGTACAGCTCCCCCAAGGCTCTTAAGGAAATTTGCACCCCTGGGAAAAGAGGAGACCTTTTCATAGATGGGTGTGTTTGAGAGGATCAGGGTCACCATGGGCTTCTGCTGAGCCCTGCCCTGTTCAGTCTGGTTATAAATAACTCAGCAGGGAGGTGGGAAATGGCTTTGATGCCAGGAACTGTCAGGAAAGGAGCAGAGAACAAGGAGAGCACTGCGTGCTCTTGAATAATTCCAAGGCACAGTTCTGTCTGCTTGAGATGTGTGCATGGCTCTGGAACTTGAAATCACACAACAAAACAAGCTGGGCTGAAGGTGTGAGATGGATTCTGTGAGAAGAATGGCACAGAAGGGCAAAATCAGAAGTGCTAAAAATGCAGTGGGTAGTGGTTGTCTTGTGATGTGCAGCACCTCAGGGCTTTTTTGTGATTGTTACCAGATGCTGAATTTGGTCACTCTTTGATCTGTTGTCTGGTATTCTGGTGTTTGTGAGGGTCCCCAGGATGAGGTGAGAGATGAGAATCTGACTCCTTGTTCTCAGAAGGCCAATTTATTATCTATGCTATTATAATTTATTAAAAGAATGCAATACTAAAACTATACTAAACTATAGAGAAAGGATACATCAGAAGGTTTCACAAGAATGATAATGAAAACTTGTGACTGACTCAGAGTCCAGCACAGCTGATGGTGATTGGTTCCATGTGAATTGTTTCTTCTTAATAGCCAATCAAACATTCACCTGTTGGTAAACAATGTCCAAGCCACATTCCAAAGCAGCAATCAGATAATTATTGTTTTCATTCCTCTCTGAGGCTTCTCAGCTTCCCAGGAGAAAATCCTGGGCAAAGAGGATTTTTCAGACAATATCACAGTGACGTGGTTTTATGCTGAAATGGTTTGAACTGGAGCCCTGATGTTTGTGGTTGTTTTTGTGTCATTTCTCCAGGCTGTGAGCTTTTTGGTGCAGCAATAAAAACTTGTGAACTGCAATTTTAGGTGCTGGAATACCTGAATGACCTGAAGCAGTACTGGAAGAGAGGATATGGCTACGACATCAACAGTCGCTCCAGCTGCATTTTATTCCAGGATATCTTCCAGCACTTGGACAAAGCAGTGGAGGAGAGCAAAAGGTAAATCCAGAGCCTGCAGTGCTTTGGGTGTGAGCTTTCTGTGCTCAGTCTGAGCTGGGTTTCATTGAAAGGAAATTCAGTATTTTACTTCTGAATGTAGCAACAACAGGAGAGCTGGAGCTAGGAGAATTTTAACGGAACACAATTTTTACTGGAGCAGTGTTACTTTGAAGAGTACATTTTTTGCTTTCATTGATGCTTTTGTGCTCAGCTAAAGCATTTCCATCTTTTAACTTGCTGATCCACACAGGCCTTCAGGGAACTGCTGCTTGATAGTGGTGTTCTCTTCCTGCAGTTTGAGAGGAGACAATGAATTAAAATAATAGAGCTTTCTTGTTAAAAATGTCCTCGTTAACATTTAAGCAACAAATTATTTTTAACTTACAGTCTGTGTTCATGTTCTGAACAATTAGAAATTCATGGTTAATAATCAGTCACATGAATTAACACCTTAGCAGATTAGTATGGAAATTTTATAGAAGGATATCAAGGATAGGGCCATAAGATTGTATAATGGAAGGAGAGTGATCAATTTTGTTCCCTTTTAGTGTGATTTCCTCTTTGAGCAGTGAGAGCCTTTCAATCCTTATATTACACACACTAATGGCAGCTGTGTGTCTATCAAACATCCCTGTAAGTTTAATAACAACAATTTTTAAAAATCCAAGAGCTGTAGTTGGATGAAGGAGGTACAGATGGAGATTTCTGATTTTTTTGGGAGGTGTCTGAGGCCGAGCTCCCAAGCACAGTGGTAACTTTCTTTCAGTGCTGGCTGTGGAAGTTCATTTGCAACACCAGAGGGAAGCAGGCAGTGAATGCAGAGAATCAGGACCATAAATCTTGTGAAATCTCGAGCTGGGTGAGCAGTGTTCAGGATGAGCCTCATCTTAAACAGGACCGGGAGTGCTACAGGAATGTGTTACTCCCTTCCACAACAGAAGGTGGCAGTCGTAAAGCACTGGAGAGCTGGGAACCAACGGGGTTGGATAACCTGGAGAGCACGTGGGAATCTGCCAGAGCCAGCTTGTCTCCCTTGGAATGTAGGGAGCAGAGGTGCAGCTAATCCCAGCTCATCTACCGAGAGAGATT